ACCCGTTCCCACTTCCTCGTGCTGCCTCCACTTCAGGGCTGAGCCAGAGCTCTCCTTTCTTACTGACTCACTGCCCAGGTGACACCCCATGAGTCACAGGCTCCCAACCCAAGGCCCAATTCCCAAGACTCAGGTGCTATAACCATTCCCTCACCCTTAGCTAACTGCCGCCCTCTCTGAGTGGCTCCACCAGGGTCCTCCCCATCCCAAGCGTTCGTGTCTCCTCCACCCCTCCCCCTTTCTGCTGGATCCTGAGCTGAGCCGAGCCTGTTGCCATCTCCTGTTTCAGTGATGGTGCAGGGCGGACTGGCACCTACATCCTCGTCGACATGGTACTGAACCGCATGGCCAAAGGTGAGGACCTTCCCCAAAGTGCCTGAAGCCCAGCCCAGGCTTTGTCCAGTCCTCCAAGCCTCCCACCCCAGGAAGGCCCAGGATTTCTGCGTCCTGTACACCCTCTGAGCAGCCTGTGCCCCTTGCCCCCAGGAGTGAAGGAGATCGACATTGCTGCCACCCTGGAGCATGTCCGTGACCAGCGACCCGGCCTTGTCCGCTCTAAGGTGACTGTTCCTCTCTGCCCCAGCACCCATGCCACCCTTCCCCCAAACCAGCAGCAGCCTGCCTGCCTCCCCAGCCTGCCTCTCTACCTCCCCCAGGAGAACTGCCCCCTCCAATGTGACCTCCCTGGGGCTGGAGAAGAGACCAGGCCTCCCCATGACCCTCCTCCCACTGCCCTTCCCAGGACCAATTCGAATTTGCCCTGACAGCTGTGGCAGAAGAGGTGAATGCCATTCTCAAGGCCCTGCCCCAGTGAGCCCCCGGGGGCCCCAGTGGGCAGCCAGGCTCTGCTCCTTCTTTGCCTGTGTGAGCATTTATCTGTGTACCCGCTTCTCATCCCCCCACCCTCCCTTGGCCCCTCCCGGGCACAGCCCTTCCCCGAGGAGTGTGTAAGGAAGGTAGGGGGTGGGAAGGGGCAGGCCTGCGAGAGCCTGGGCGGCTGCGGGGGAGCTGGCAGCCAGCCAGGAGGAGGAGTCATGGCAGTCATGGCACCCAGAGCCTTCTCCTGCCTGATTTCCCTGGCCCCTGTCTCTCACCGTCCTGGGTGCTCCTAACATGTCTGTGGGGACACCCCCACCGCCCACCCTTCAGTGTGGACAGAACAGGGTGGAGAGGCCACGACACCCAGCTGCCCCTGCTTTCCCAGCCCCTGCTGCCCACTGCTTGTGGCTCCCTGACCCACTCTGGCCCCTGCCCGTCCTGCCCTCGCCCTCGGAACTCCTCTCCCCTGCTCCCTGCCCTCCTGCCACATGTTGCTCAACTCTTTCCCTCCGGCTCAAGAGAACATTTCTAGAAAAATCTACTTTTGTATCAATGTGAATAAAGGTACTGTGTTGTTTGTGCAGCTGCAACCCGGACTCCTGCGCACTGTCTGCCCTGCTTCCACACTGCAGCCCCGCCCCACCCCCCACCCCGCCCCCACCCCCCATCCCCCCACCCTCCCCCACCCCCGCCTGCCGGAGCCGGCCTGCTGCGTTCCCTCCAGGGTAGAATGGGCGCTAACCGCTAGGCCATCCGTTTTCTGCATTGGACCCAGAGTGGTGCAGCCTCCTAGGTGCCTACATATATTCACTCGTTTAATCTCCATGACAATGCTACCAATTCTTAGCCCGTTGTCTGAGGTACTAGGACTTGTAAGAGATGGAGTTAGGATTTGAACCCAGGCATGCCGAACCTCTTTACTGCTCTCCTCTCGGTTCTCGGTTCTCGGCAGCTGTTTCATGTCCTGGGGCCTCAGGAATAATGTACGTTGTGTAGGACTGAGGTTAAGACTAAACAAACTGCCTGCTTAAGCAAAATCAGCTACACTCCGGTAGACCAAGCCTGTGAGATGTCACCACTGATGTTCACCTGGTGGCAAGGGGCACCTCTTCCCTGTCTCCTTGCTCCCAGAACTGTCCGTCCTGTAAGGTCCCAGAGGAGCCCTCTCTTGTTTTTTTTTTTAATCCTCACCCGAGGACATTTCTCCATTTTTTGTACAGATAGAGTGGGAGGGAGAGAGAGAGAGAGAGAAACATCGATGTGAAAGGGACACATCGAGTGGCTGCCACCCGCACAACCAACCAGGGCCGGGGACAAACTGCAACGGAAGTACGTGCCCTTAGCGGGAACCGAACCCGGGTCTCTCCGGACCACAGGCCAACGCTCTAACCGCTGAGCCAAACCGGCCAGGGCAGGAGCCCTCTCTTGTGTGTCATGAGCCATCACTGGACAAATGTGGTACACATAGATAGAAGACAAAATGAGCCTTGGGCCTGGAGCTACTTGGGAATAGGGCCATTTAACCTTGCCAAGGCTCAGTCCCGCCACCTGGAAAACAGGGAAAGTACCATCTGCCCCTTGCAGGGAGCAAGGGGACCAGCAAGCAGACCACTGGTCCTCCAACGCCTCACCTGGCCTTGGGTGAGGTGCCTACAATTCCAGTATGCTTGACCTCTCAAAGGCTAGAAGTGGCAAAACAGCCACTTGACAAACTTCCAGCAGATTTTTCTCTCTCTCCCAAGATAGAGGCTTGAAATTCTTTCAGGGTAGGCTGTGTCCTTGTTTTGAGAAAAATACACTATAGGCCCTTTGGCTACTGAAGATGAAGCCAAGTGTTTTCCTGGAGTAGGAAAGTTGGTGGGCAGCCACACTGCCCTGCTTGGCAATGGAAATTGCTTGTCCTGTGGCTGGAGGGGCATCTCTACAAGTATCTGGAGCGAGGCACCTGGCTTTCTCCTTCCTGGATCCTGGTGAGTTGGGGGCCTGGACCCTGAGTGGGGCAGGCATGTGCCACTCCATGTGGGAGAGGCGGGCCTCTGAGACTTGCCACTGGCTCTGGGCTAAGGAAACCTATGAAGGGCTCAGTCTATGTACATTCTTACAGGTTTTCACCACGTTCCCTGCTTTCTGTTGTCCCCATGCTTTGAGTCGAGTCATACCTGAGTCTGGTCCAAGCTGTGCTGCTGAGTACTGGGTGGTGGGTCCCTGCGTAAAGGGAACACAGCTGCCTGGGGACAGCCAGGAGGCGAGGGCAGAAGAATGTGAGCATTACTCGGGATTCCACAGTGTACTTGGGGGGCAGCCTGGTCAAAGAGGACACCTGCTGGGAAGGCTTGCAACCTCTAGATGTTTGGGTAATAAAGGGAAGTGTGTCACCCACTGGTCCCATGGGTCCCCGGGCCTCTCTGAAAGGAAGAACACAGGAATACAGCCTACCACCAAGCTCCTGAAACAGCTTTATTGACTTCCAGTGTTTCCCTCTGGTCTGAGCTCAGCCCAGCTGGCTTTGATAGGTCTCTGAGACACAATGTCACAGGGTCTGGCAACACCCTGGCTCCACCATTCCCCTCCCTGGCCACTGGGCTCCCCAGGCAGGGAGGAGGAGAGGCAGCTCAGCTGTGGTGTTGGAGAGAGAACGGGCAGCAGGGTCAGAGGCCATAGAAGCCATACAAGCAGCAACATGCCTGGAGTACCCATTGCATGCCAGTCACACGCACACACACCCCAGAGGGCCCCTCCCTTCAAGCTCTCTGTTGGTCCACACCCATCAGCTTTTTAGATCCTGCTCCGGCTTGTGACCCAGACCCCAGTATTGCCCACAGGAAAAGAGCCTCTCCCAGACGCCACAGGGCTTTGATTTGTTCACGCTAATCCCAGGACTAGCAAGAGGTGTCAGGGGAATGGAAGCACAGACCATTACCCCTTCATCCACATTCTCACCATCCCTGCTAGGGATGTATCAAATGATAAGATCTCCCATCTCACGGCGAGTGATAGGCCAACCTGGGCTGGAACTACATGTCCCAAGATGCACAGCTCCGTAACCACACACCCTTTCCCTCAAGCATGATCTATCAGAAATGAGGCAGGGTGTGTTGCATTCTGGGACTAGTAGTCTTCAAGAGACAGCACCAAACACCCAGTGAAGAGTTTACAGGCTAAGACTACTGACACCTCCCACCCGGCCCCCACCCACCACCCAGGCCCAGCTGTACACTCAGCACAGGTGAGGGAGAGGAATGGAAGGTCCCCTCCCAGTGCACAGGGGAGGGCGCTGTCCTGTTGGAACTGTGCATCGACTCTGGATCCTGGACATCCAGCTCAGAACACATCTGGGGAGAGAGCGGGGGTGGGTGACAGGAGAGAGGGTCAGCAGCAAGCCGTGGTGGATGGCACTGCAGTGCATGCAGACCTGGGCTAGCCCTGTGGCCTCTCCCTGAGCCCTGATGCATGGTGAAGTGGGACGGGGCACAGTCCCCTCCTAGTCCTCCCTCCTGGGGCACCCTGGTCCTATCCCACTTCTCCAGGGTTAGCCGGCCTCACCTCTGCCTAGTCCCGAGGCCTGGGGCTGGCTGAGGCAGCAAGAGGAAGGGAGGAGGAGTGGGCTCCGGTTCCGAATCTGGATGGCCGAGAGGCTCCCGCCCCACCCAGCTAGCCTCCCCGGAAGACCTTATGGCCCTACGGGCCACAGCATCTTCCTCGCCACACTGAGGCCTTCTTGGGGAAGGAAGAAGGGAGTTCTAGCCAGACGGCAGTGAGAGCAAGCGATGCGGCCCACGGGGAATTGCAGAGAGGAGAGTGTGAGGAAGAAGCAGCAGCACCAGAAGGGAAGCAACAGAGACAGTCAGAGCTCAACACTGCACAGAAACCAGGGTGGGGGTGTCCGCAGCTGGACGAGGAGAGCTGAAGACTCCCCAGTGTAGCTGCTGACTTGGGCTCAGAGAACCCCAGGCCAAGTCCTCCTTCCTTGACATCATCAGCAACACAGGTGGCAGAAGACCTGGGCACAAAAGGCCTGCCCCAAACCACTAATGCCCCTTAGAAACCCCCCATCATATAAGAAGTGCACTCTGGCTCCTCAGGATTTCCCACAGCCCTGAGGCCCCCACCCTGGGCTTCACCAGGGACCTATCAGCTCAGCAGAGCAAAGCCCATCCACACTGGAGTCCAGGGGACCTGGAGGGAAACCTGTAGGGGAGCATGGAGTTGGAGGGGCCACACCCTTCTCTGTTCGGACAGTGAGCAGGACCCCAGGTCACCCTGAATTGGGGTGGGTTGAGCCTGAGGATCAGAGGATGAGGCACCGAGAGGCCTTATCCTCCAGGGGTGGACCAGCTTGGGCTGCATCTCCCCTTGCACTCTCAGGGGTCCCCCCCATGCCCAGATCTTGGTACTGGGCCTTGAGATGCCCCTGCCGTCTTCTCTGTGCCTCCCGCCCACCTGCCGGTTTCTTCCCAGCTGCCTCCATCTCTGACAGGCTGTAGGCCATGGCAAGTTGCAGGTCCTCATCATCCTCAGAGAGGTCGCTGTCAGTGGGGCGTGAGGCAGGGGTCTGCTGCACCTGCATGCCCCCAGATCTGGAGGTGACAGACTGTTGCTGCTCGCGACGGCTCAGCTCCAAGCCCAGTGCCAGGTCGTCTGGGATGCCTGCAGGAGTCACAGCCACCATGAGGCCCTCTGGCCCAGGCCAGGGGAATCCTGCCAGGCTGCCTCATGTGGCAATGATGCTGACCACTTCCAGCCCCTCTTGGAGCTGGCATTCATGCATTTTAACCCCTGGCATATTGGTTATGAGCCCAGGCAGGTATTTAGCTCCAGCAGGTATGAGCTATCTGCTTGGGCAAGTTATTCAACCTCCCTGAGCCTCCCTTTTCTCAACTATAAAATGGGATTGATGAGAAAGCCTACATTGTCAAAATGTGCCAATGATTAAATAAGACAGCATAGTGTTCCCAGGGTCGGCAGGCGTGAAAGGGTAGCCATGGCGACCACTTTCTACACAAGGTGTTGTGGCAAAAGTTCAGCTCCACGAATCCTGGGTCCTGAGTTTCATTCCTGGATTTTCTCCTTTCTAAGTAGGACAGAGCCTTGGACCTGGAGGTGCTTGGTTTATGGCCATTAAACTGTGCTGAGGCGCTGCCTCCTCAAATGAAAACTAGGGCGAATACCGACTGCCCTGCTTTCCCCTGGCTGTCTGAAGAATACAGGGGTATGGTATGTGTGCAAGTGCTTTAAAAATAGTAGAGTTCTGCAAACGTACCCCACTAATGATGCCAGTGATTAACCAGCCCTGAGACTCCTCAATTCCCTGCCCTGGCCCCCTTCCCTGCGATCCTGCAAGTCTGGCCTGTGGCTGCCATTCCCTCCCTGCCCCAAGGTTCGGATGGCGGCAGTTCGAGGAGGGAGCTTTGGGGCCCGGGGCTGGGGCTTCCTGCCAGGGGCTGGTGGCAGAGCTGCTCCTCACCATTGATTGTGACTGACTTCAGCTGCCCGTCCTCCTCCACTTCCACCCGTTCCTGCCCATTCTCCATGATCCTGTGGGAGACAGCACAGGTCATTCAGCAGGCATGCCTGAGTCCTACAGGTGTTCGTCCAGGATCTGGGATGCTGCAGTGACAGGACAGACTGCGCTCTGTCCTCAAGGGGCTGACTTTCTAGTTGTATGCAGCTCCCCCTCCACCCCGTATGGTACCAGAAGGAGCCCTCACCTGCGTGTCGTGATGCGGCGTCCTTGGACAAAGGTGGTGGATGTAGAAACAGAGCGAAAAGCACCAGCCCCAGGACTGAAGGAGAAAGATGAGGAGGAGAAATCTGGCATTGGGACAGAGGAGGAGGAGGAGGAGAGGTGGTTAGATGGGGCTGTATGTGGCAGGCTGCAGTCACAGTGGGCCAGGAACCTCAGCTCTCCCCACAGGCAGTGTCCCGGAGAGAAGACTTGGAAGAGCCAAGGACTCAGAGCTTGCCAAAGTGGGAAGGGACAGAACTTACCAGAGTGCCCAGGGAAGGAGGAAGAGAAGGAGAAGAAGGGGCCTGTGTGTCGGGAACCCCGGCTCTGAAGCTCTGAGAAGGGGCCTAGGTCTTCTGCAACAATAAGCAGATTAACGATTATCTGGTGAAGAGATTTCCCCCAAAAAATATGTGAATCCTACTTTTATGTCTAGAAATACAAGCTGCTAAGCCACTGGGTACATTTCTGATTTTTTTCCTTTCTTCTTGGACTTATTTACAAATTAAATTCCTTTTTAATATCATATATGAAAAAGTTCACTAATAAATTCTGTCCACAATAAAGAATAAAGGAAGGAAGTGGGAGAGGGAAAGAGAGAGAGAGGACAAATAGCTCCTTCGCTATAAGAGCAGCATGCCCTGGCCTGTTTGGCTCAGCGGTTAGAGTGTCGGCCTGCAGTCCAGAGAGACCGGGGTTCGGTTCCTGCTAAGGGCACATGCCTCGGTTGCGGTTTGTCCCCGGCCCTGGTTGGGTTGTGCAGGAGGCGGCCACTTGATGTGTCCCTTTCACTTCGATGTTTCTCTCTCTCTCTCTCTTCCTCTCTCTCTCTCCCACTCAATCTAAACAAAAAATGGAAAAATGCCCTCGGGTGAGGATAAAAAAAATAAAAAAGAAGATCAGCATGGTGTGATGTCAGGCAAACACAGCTACACGTCCTGCTCAGCCATCTGCTGTGCCTCTAAGCAAGTTATTTGAATGTGCCTCAGTTTTGTCATTGCAAATGGGGATAAAATGATCTACCTCACAGGGTTCATTCCAAGAAATGGTGTCTGTTGTTGTTTGCAATGGCATTATTATTGTCACATGAGTCTCTGAGCCTTGTTTTCATGGCTGTCATTGTGGGGATCTAACAATGTATTATTGTTGTCATCTCTGCAGTGTCGCTACAGGGTCACGTGAGTTCAGGCCTATGTAAGGTTCTGTCCCTGTTCTCACTGGACCCAGCCCCACAGAATCTTGTCTGTAGAATTCTGCTTCCCTCTCAGCCTCCCCGCTAAGGACTTCCCAGCCGAGGGAGGGCAGGCCTGGAGGAGGAAGTCAAGCCAGTCAGAGGACTCCTGAGCCCACTCACCAAACAGCTCCGAAAAAGGGTCTCCACTCCCGAAGAACTCCCGGAAGACCTCCTCAGGGCTGCGGAAGGTGAAGGTGAAGCCAGGCCCGCCACTGCCAGCTTCTGCCCGAGATGGGCCAGTTCCTGGAGGACAGGCAGGATGAGAGGGGGCTGAGGGCATACATCTTGCCAGAGCCAGGGCACCCCACCTAAGGCATGGCCAGGAAATCCCCCCTTTCCTCCCTGACCTACTTCCATCCCTGGATCCCACCGCTCCACCTACCTGCTCCAGTCAGCCCTTCCCGGCCATAGCGGTCATAGATCTCTCGCTTATGCTCTGGAAGAAGAGACCAGATCATTTCTCTCTCCCTCTGGGATGAGAGCCTCCCCTTTGGGGCTAATATCCTCAGAAGACTGCCCAGAGACTGACACTTGGGAGCAGCGGGGTGCATAGGGGACAGGGGCTGTAGGGTTTAGCAACAGCCCAGCCCTTCTCATCTGTAAAATGGACATAACAGCACCTACCTCCCAGGGTTGTTGCAGAATTCAATGAAATAATCCATGTAAACAGCTTAACACAGTGCCTGATACATAGTAAGTGTTCCATAAATTTTAGCTCCTTATTGCTGTGTTATTATTGATCAGGGCTTAGCCTAAATGTCACTTTCTCAGAGAGGCCTTCTGGGACCATGACAACAAAAATTGCTACCCGTTATTCCCTATCACATCACCCTGTTCCTTTCCTTTTGAATACTCTTGTCTATTTATTTATTTGGTTAATGTCAATCTTCCCTGACCAGAATGTGACAAACCCATCAGGATGAGGACAGTGCCTGCTTGTCCTCCATTGTTCCCCAGTACCCAACAAGGGCTCGAACCACACACACTTAATGAATATTTTTTGAATGAATGAAAAAAAGCCTGCATTCATATTGTAGCTGTGTGATCTTGAGCAAGTTACTTCACCTCTCCCAGCCCCAGTTTCCTTGCCAGTAAAATGGGGGTGATAAATCCTGCCTCAAAGGATGGCTGTGAGGACTCATGGAGATCACACACACCAATGCCTGGCACAGAAGAGGCTTGGCACACACTGGCTACCTGCCCTGCATCCTTCCCTTTGTCCAAGACCCATGCTGCAACTACCAGATCCTGGGGAGCAGACACTGAGCACAGGGGACTAGGGGAAGAATAAAAAGGTGCTTTGCACATAGTGGGTACTCATTTGAAGGAAAAAAAGTCCCAGAGTCCCTGTGGGAGGGGGTCACTTAAATGCCAGCTTGGAAAAGGCATGGCTTTGGGAAGGAGTGCAGTGGGGCATAAAATGGGGGTGATGCCCTGCCCTGACCCTGGCCTTACTGTCCGACAGCACTTCATATGCCTCGGCCACCTCCTTGAACTTCCTCTCAGCAAACTCTTTATTATCCGGGTTCTTGTCCGGGTGCCATTGTAGAGCCTTCCGCCGGTACCTGCAGGAAGCGGGTTCAGAGGGAAGGGTCAAGGGACAAATGCAGAGAACAAAGTGACCCATTTTCCCACTAGCCAACCAATGTCCTTTCACCACTGAGAGCTTGGTCCACCCCAGCTGCTGGGGCTGCCTCCGCTGTGGTGTTTTAATGGCGTCTCTATCTCTCCTCTGCAGCTCGTGCTAGGGTTACTTGTATTAACAGATGATAAAGTGAGAGTGAGAAGGTCCCGGCCCTAACTCCTTCTTGGGGCTCCATGGGGTTGGGTTGCGAAAATGGAGGGGTACATGTGGCCATGGAGGGTAAAGGGGCAGTGGTCTCTCCTAGTCACATTGCCTGGGCATCTCTGCACTGCATCCTGAGAAAGCCCACATCTAGGGACTGGGGTTGGGATAGGAGTGGAAGGGAGGGGAAGGGAGAGTTTACTAAAGAAAGATCCACAGTGCAGCTCCCAGCAGAACTTCCAAGCTATGGATTTTCTCCTACTCATCCAGGGGTCTCTTTCCTCCCTACAGATGTGAAGGGCCAGGTCCCCTGGCACTGCCTCTGAATGGCCACATGGTGCTGGTGGTGGGAGCTGGGGGTTTGACAGGCTTTGTGGTGCACAGCGGAGGCACTTACGCCTTCTTGATGTCATCAGCGGACGCACTTCGCGGCACGTCTAGGATCTCATAGTAGGATGCCATGGCAACTCGTCAGAAGTCAGGCGGGCCTCCCAGCAGCTGCAGGAGAGAAGGAAGAATCAGGCAGAAAGACCCAAGGGCGCCTCCCTGAGGATGGAACCCCCCGCCAGGGTGCCGGGAGGCTCTCTCAGAGGGAAGGGAGCCCACCGGGCTCTGCTTGCGGCGGGTGACTAGGCTCCCTCCAGCAGCCTTATCCGCCCCGCGGGCCGTGCCACCGGCTATCTCGGTGCCCAGGCCCTGGGAGCCCTATCGCAGCCCCCTAATTCCGCAGCCCGGCCCAGGGCCCCCAGCCTGACCGGGCACCCCGCCCGCACCTCCTCCGCCGGAGTCCTCGGGCCCCTGCGGCGCCCCGCGGGGAACCGTCTGGCACCCGCTGCCCGGCTCTCGGCTGCTGCGTAGGACGCTCCCGGCCCAGCTGTGTGCGCAAGCATGCGTCAGCTGCACGGAAACTACTAGAGACTCAGAGAGGCTGGCTTGGCCTGTCACCCGGGGTGTGGGGAGCTGGGGGGGCGGAGGGGAGTGCTGCTGCAGGGGCTGCCGGGAGATGAGGGCGGAGCCGGCTATTTTGGGCTTGCACCAGGACGACGTCATTCCCAGCTGGGACCTGGAAGACCGCGGCGGGCTCCATCCAGGCGTGTGACACTTGCCAACAAGCCAGCTGTCCCCTGGTTCCTCTGCCGCTTTTCTCTGGACAGGCTAGATGATCGATGGTTACTTATCCCGGAGGAAATAGCCACCTCAAGGTCTCACAGACTCCCCTTTAGGCCCAAATCCTCCTCCTTCTTTAGATTCCATCTCTAGTCCCAGGTCCTCAAAAGAGGCTGCCCCGACTTACCTGAAGAAGTCAGATCTGCCTCTTGTAGCATCTTCCGGCATCTTAAAGCACACTTGTCAGTTACAAATTAGCATTCATTTGTTTATTTGATTGACATGCACTTCCTCCACTAAATGTCAATTCCACAGGACAGAGCTTGAGTCTTTTTTCTACTAGAGTATTAGGTCAGTGGTGGGGTTCAAAAATGTCCATTGGATGATTAAATAATAAACAGATGCTGAACCTCTTATTGACAGTTTGACACATTTGGGAAAGTGAGGTTAAAGGGTAAAAAGAAAACAAAACAAGGAAAGGAAATTCCCTGGTTTCAAGATTTTTCTTCCCAAAGTGATCCTGAGTAGACTTCCACCTCAAAAATGATTCCTGCATTCAGGTCTCATGGGAGATTTAGAGAACCTTCCAGAATTGGCTCCTGCTTGATATCATCCAGGCCAATCTACCAAGCATTAATGGAGTGTTTTCTACATAGTAGATGTTGCCAGGATATAAAAAGAAGAATGTGGCCCAATCCCTGCCTTCCCAGAGCTCCAACTTGGTAAGATACCAGCCCATTAATACAGCCCACTGGGAAACCCCAAGGCTTTGGAAATAAAACAGACCTAGGTTTGCAACCTGGCACTACTGTGTGACTTGGGGAAACCGCAAAGGACTCGGTTTTTCCTCCCTAAACACAGGTAACATCTAGGGCTGTTTGAAAGTCAGATGAGGTTGCCCTGGTCGGTTTGGCTCAGCGGTTAGAGCGTCAGCCAGCAGACCAGAGATGAGGTGAGGTACATACATAGAAGGTCTTAGTACAGATCTTCTCTGGCATCATTATTGGACCAAGCAGTAATGATTATGTGAGTCCAGAAGTGTGTTTTAGGCTTTGTGACCCAGAAATACTTCACCAAAGAGAAGAGCTTGAGCCAGATATGAGAAAAGAGAATGGTGTGCATTTGTCCAGTTGTCCTGGCTACCCATGGCCTGAGCTTCCTGCCTACATTTGGGGAATTCCCACTGCGTAGGTCTCGATGGCAGGCAGACCGGCCACCGCCTGCCTAAAAGCCCAGACACTTGCTCTCCTAGACTTCTCGGCTCCAAAGGTACAGGCAAAAGACATGAGCTCTGCCAGTCGGAAGCTCCCACTGGGATTTTGAATCTGGATCAAGTCACAGAGAAGCTGGGGCAGCTGAGGATTTATTTCTGCAGCTGTGGTGGCAGCGGAGCCAGCAGCGGCCTCTAGTGTCTGGAGGAGAAAATGTCAGCCTCAGTGCCTGGGTAGGAAGGGGCCTCACTGCAGTGGGTAGAGGGTACAGGGGTGTTTCAGGTAGGATTCCTATGCCCTTACCTGACTATGGTACTGGCTGCCCAGGTTCCCTTGGTGCCTACCCATTTATAGAGATTTCCTATTGGTTCTCTGTGTTATCCGATATCTCTCCAAGTATCTCTGTGTGTGTTTTCTTTTTTTAATTTGCCAGAATTAGTTTCTGCTGTTTACAACAAGAGTCCTAACTGATCTTGGTATAAGAGGAACAAATAAGTTAGATCACTTTAAAATATTCTCAGTCTCTTTCTTCTTACTTCTCTTATCTCCACAGACATTTGTCTAGCACCTACCTTGTGTGTGATTATATTAAGCATAGGAATACAACGAGGTTTAAGTTCCAGTTCCTGTACCCGACAAGATGAAAATCTAGTTGGGATATAGATAAATGACAGCTGAGGGAAATTATATAAAACACATCTAGCAAACAGGGTTAATTACCTTTGTTAACAAAGAATTCCAACAAGTTAATAAGAAAATACAAACAATGCCTTTTTTTTTTAATGGGCAAAGGGCACAGACAAGACAGTTCACAGACAAGAAAGTACTGACTTTTAAACAATTGAAAAGATGCTCAATCTTATTCATAATGAGAATTATAAAGGAAAGCTGTGACAAAATACTGTTTCACTTATCAAATGATTGACCAAAATAAAAAAGTTTAATACACTGTATGGGCAAGGCTGTGGGCACAGGCATTTTCACATACTGGGAGAGGGAGGTATAACTTCTAACTATGGGGTATTTTAAAATGAGAGTGTGTAGCCTCTGACCAGCAATTGGGATTCTAATAACTATCATTGGACATATGTGCAAAGAAATATATACAAGAGTTACAGCATTCTTTTCAATAACAAAAAACTGGAAACAACCTAAATACCCATTAGTAACACACTGTTAAATAAGCGATGGAGCCCTGGCCAGTTCGGCTCAGCGCTTAGAGCATCGGCCTACAGTCCAGAGAGACCCAGGTTCGGTTCCCGCTAAGGGCACGGGCCTCGGTTGCAGTTTGTCCCCAGCCCTGGTTGGTCGTGCGAGCCACTTGATGTGTCCCTTTCACGTCAATGTTTCTCTCTCTCTCTCTTTCTCTCTCCCCCCGCCCTCTCTCTCCCTCTCTCTCTCTCCCTCCCACTCTATCTGAACAAAAAATGGAAAAATGTCCTCGGGTGAGGATAAAAAAAAAAGTGATGGAATAGAATACAATGGAATACTAAATTGCCACCAGAAAGAATGAGGTATGTTCTGATACAGACCACCTTCCAGATATATTGTTGGGGGAGGGGGGCAGGCATAGAAACGTATCTAGATGTGTATATACATAGATGTCTCTGGAGGGAAACACTAACAAAAAGTTAACAGTGGTGGCTGCCAACAGGGGAACCAATGAAGGAAGCATTTTCACTGTATAAACTTCTTTTAGTTGTTTGTAACCTTCTCTGGCACTTTCTGAACTCTGAAGCATGTGCACATCACTATACAAATACATACAGAATTTTTTTTAAATCAAGTTGGAGAAATAGGATATTGGCAAGCTAGGTGCTACCATACAAGGCAGTCCATGCCAAGTACCAAATGAGTGATAGAGACCCAGTAAGGGCGGGGAAGATCTAGAGGCGGAGCTCCCTAGGGTTGGATGGGTTCTGGGTCACCATGACCTAATCTGGAAGGAATGGCAACAAAAGTGTGTGTGTTGGGGGGGGGGGGCATTCCAGAAGGAGGGAATGGTGAGAATGGAGCTTTGGAAGCAGGCATGTTCCTGATACATCAGAGGAGAGAGAACAAAGGTGTTCAGTGGGATCCAAGGCTGGGAATCTGTCTCTTGTGTCTGCCTGCAGGAGATAATTGTAGCCTGGCTTTAGAAGCATCAGGGATGAAAGCATTCCCCTGCACTGAGGGAGCCCCCAGGAGCCAGGCTGGGTGGCACTCCCAGCTGCCCCATGGAGGTCAGAGTTGCCACCTCCCTATACCCACACCCAGTCCAACCTAGGCTTGCCGGCACCTGCCAGTAGTTTCTAGCTGGAGGCCTTTCGGGGTCTGAGAGGAGATGGACTTACAGCTGAGCAGGGCGGGCTGGCTGGGACAGCGGACAGGAGGGAAGCCTGACCGCCTCTCTGGATGCCCAGCCATCCTGGCAGGTGAAGATTCACCTCCATCTTGGCCCTCCCTGCTGGCCTCTTTCAAGCCCTCACTTCACCTCCTGTGAGATGTCAGGGGTTAGGGAGAGGGCTTTCCAGAGGGCGCTGACAGGCCCAAAATATGGCCCCAAAGATACCTCTGCCCTTGTTCAGCCCAGAAACTAGGTCCCTATACCTTACTTCCCAACACATGCCCTCCACCACAGTATCTGGGCAGGGCAGTGTCAAGAGGAGTATCAGCCCACTCCCTGCCTTTGAGGCACCTGAGTCACTGTCTGGGAATTGGGGACCAGGCAGACCCAGAAAAGGTGGTGTCTGGAGCAGTGCTTAGAACTGTTATGGGCAGGAGGAGAGAGCATCTGAAGAAGAGGGCAGCAGCATATGCTTTGGCCCAGGCTGATCTGGTTAGAATCCTTACTCCTCCCTTTACTGGTTGAGTAACCTTGGACAAGTCACATCACTTCTCTGAGCCTCAGTCTCCACATCTAGAAAATAGGCATTCATTTAACAAGTCTATTTGACAAGTACTGAGTATCTAATGTGTGTTGGGCAACATTCCGGTACTGAGAGTAGAATAGGCCTTGTTCCCATGAAGCTTCCAGTGCAGTGGGTATATCTGTATTTACCTCAGGATTAAACAAGATAATGTGGACACAGGGCCTAGTACATAGTAGATGCTCGAAAAATGACTGATTTCTCGATGTTTGAAGGGCTCCTCCCCCAAAACCCTCTTCTCTTCCCAAGTTTGAAAACAGTCAAAAGAAGGACATGAGTTGAATAGAGACTTGGAAATCAGTTCTCCTAGTGGAAAAAATAAACAGATTTGAAGATATAGCTGAGCTATTCAGCCAAAATGGGCTTCAAAATTCTCCCTCTGAATTAAATTACTTCCCACCGCCAGCACCACACACATACACACAGCTGTGGGCCCCTCTCTTCCCAGGGCGGACCTTCCTCTATGAGCTTAAATCCTCAAATTGAGAATACTTGCTCTCTCTGGACAAATGATTCCAAACTAGAAGGAGAAAATTGCTATGCTAGGCATGCCTCTTTTTTGTTGTGAATCCTCACTTGAGAATATGTTTTTCTGTTGATTTTTAGAGATAGTGGAAGGGAGGGAGGGATGGGATGGGAGAGAGAGAGATTGATGTGAGGAAGACATCTCGATTGGTTGCCTTCCACATGAGCCCCAACCCTGGCCAGGGATTGAACCTGCAACCTAGAACATGCCCTTAACCAGGAATCAAACTATGACCCTTCAGTGCACAGGTTGGTGCTCTAACCACTGAACACCAGCCAGGACTGGGCATGCCCATTTTCTTCTCTAAACCCCCTACCACCCTGTTGCTTCCATTCCATCCTCTACTTACTTGCTGGGACAAGTGACAGGTACAGGTAATAGGTCCCTGGAGAAAGGCAGGAGACACTCCATTTCCAGTGCTAGACCTAGGTGCTGGTATGTATTTTATTTGCCTGTTTTCTCTGAGATCTATTCCCCCACCTTCCCTGCCCTTATCTATAACTCACAGGCTGCACCCTCTTTTTCTTAGTCCCCTTTGCCAACTAGCTTCCGTCTGTGTTCAGCCAATGGGAGACACTGGCTGAAGATTGAGGGTGGAAGGAAGAGAGAAGCCAGGGTATTCCTCTCCTTGTCCCTAAATTGGGGGCACCTCACACAGTGGTTGAGTCTCCTCCATGGCTGTGACTCTTGCCAAACACCCCTCCTTCCTTATTTTCTCCTGCTCACTAGGTAGCCCTGCTGTGGTTTCAGTTCCCACCTGGTGTCCCAGTTCCAAGCCTCTGGCATCACCATCTCATCCCTTGGCCTCCAGCCCTAGGGGTGATAGCACCTTCTTGGTGTTACTCACTTTAGAGTTGGCTTCCTAGCATCCAATCCTGGGAAAGGGAGACTGCAGGAAGGACTGTAGAAGGCAACATTGGGCACTGAATCTCTCTGGAGGCTTGTGGGTAGGGTGGGGATTGCCCAAGTTTCAACAGCTCCAATGGATGAATCCATCCTCCAGCCTAGCACCAGCTAAAGAGAGTCCACAGACAAAGATTTTAGGGGCAGCCATCTGGTTGGAAGTGAGGGCTTGAGGCTGTGCTTGCATAATACATGGCACGTGAGGAAAAGGTCAGTTGTGCCCAGCCGGTGTGGCTCAGGGGATTGAGTGTCCTCCCATGGACTGAGGGGTCGCAGTTCAATTCCCAGTCAAGGCACATGCCCAGGTTTCGGGCTCAATCCCCAGTAGGGGGCATGCAGGAGGCAGCTGATCAATGTTTCTTTCTTACATCTGTGTTTCTATTTCCCTCTCTCTAAACACACACACACACACACACACACACACACACACTAAAAACATATATATTTTTAAAAGGGTCAATTGTCTTCATTAAAAGTGGTGAATGTTGCCCTAGCTGGTTTGGCTCAGCGGTTAGAGTGTCGGCCTGCGGTTCAGAGAGACCTAGGTTCGGTTCCCGCTAAGGGCACGGACCTCGGACCTCGGATGCAGTTTGTCCCTGGCCCTGGTTGGGTTGTGCAGGTAGCAACCACTCGATGTGTCCCTTTCATGTCGATGTTTCTCTCTCTCCCTTCCTCTCTCTCCCTCCCACTCGGACAAAAAATGAAAAAAATGTCCTCGGGTGAGGATAAAAAAAAAGTGGTGAGTGTTAATGGAGCTTGCTGGAAGGTAAGCCCAGCCCCTCCCCCTCCCTCTCCCCCTCCCCAGCCATTCTCCCATGGTTGCTGCCACTGTGCCACTGTTCTGCCTTAATGCCAGCTTCTGTTCTCTCTAAACCCAAACTGCCTGCCTGAAGAAGATAAAACCCCAATCTCTAGGGTAAGCACCAGCTATATCAGCTGTATCAGTTATATCAGACTACTCTGAGGCACCACGTCAGCCCCTCCTGGCTCACCAGGCTCTGCTTGCAGTCTTAGGAAGCTCTGACCAACTTCACACACACGCAGTTGAAAAGCACCTCGCCTCCTGTGCCAGGGTTTCTTTGTTAACCCTGCAGCCCAAGTGTCCATTCTGGACGTGCAGGGGGTTCTTTCCAAATGGACTGAAGGTTTAACCAATGGAAGAGTGGATCAGGGCATAAGTTCTCCCACCCTCACCGCAACTCCTGCCCCTCACCCAAGGAATTGTTCTGAGATGCCATCTACTCAGCTGCATCTATTTTAGGGTAAATTCTCCCTCCTTCTCTGCTTGACTCCCCGTTGCCCCCATTCTGCTTCCTGGAATTGTACCCTTTAATAAATTCTGAAATCAGATCTACTTTCCAGGGAGTCCAGATTAAGATACCAGTCTTCTTATATCCCAGTAAGGAGAAGCCCTCCCGCCATGGTTTTTCCCAAGAGAAAAGACATTTGTGAGACAGTAAGGCCACAGAACTTTATTTAGGATAGACACGAAGGATGTAGTGGCCTCGGGCATAGTTATTGGCAGCATCTTCCTTGCCTGTGATGAGCTGCTCTGGTACGTGCCCGTCCGAACTTCATCTGCAATGAACAGAGTTTTAGGCTCCACTCCTCTGGCAGCCTGGCTCTCAGAGCCCCAGGGTACCCAGTAGAAGTGTGGTCTCCAGGCCCAAGTCCTACCCTGGAGGAGCCCCATTCAGGTTTCTGCTATTACCCTTGCCTTTAGGTGTTCATCAGTGAAAAGGAAAGGGATGTGGGGTGACATTGAAACTTGGAGCTAAGTGACAGTGGTTCTGCAGATCTGGAGTTTTAGTTGGCTGCAGTAGCTGAGAACCACACACTCCAGTGCTCTCCAGTTATAGGGAAGGACTTGCTGTGCTACCTGGGACAAGGACATGGCAGAGAAGAATCATCACTCACCAATCACAGTGGGCTCCAGATCCACAAACACCGCCTGGGGCACATGTTTTCCAGCCCCAGTTTCACTAAAGAAGATGTTGAAGGAGTCATCTCCTCCCCCGATGGTCTTGTCACTGGGCATCTGCCCATCTGGTTGGATTCCATGTTCCAAGCAGTAGAGCTCCCAGCAGGCATTGCCAATCTGCACGCCAGCCTGCCCCACATGGACTGAGATGCACTCACGCTAGGGGCAGAGCAGAAAACACCTTCAGCAGAAAGAAGCATATCATGCCTGGACAAAATTCCTGCCCTCCTTCCTTGAGTGGCTCTCCAGATGAGGGCAAAGGTTCTTGGACTCTGCTCCTCTTGCCCCACCTCCTGTGGCTAAGCATTTACTGGTGGCATTGAGGACCAACAGGCATTGGCTCTGGGGGCTGGACCAAACCCCTCAGGGAAAGCAGAAGATGTGGACAGTTGTCAGATAATAGAGTTTTGCTCGGTGACTAAGCATCTTGAGGAATGTTGAGAGGATAAAATGAGTCTGGCAGAGTACAAAGTCAACTGCCCTGGCCGGTGTTGCTCAGTGGTTAGAGTGTTAGCTCTCAGTCCAAAAAGTCATGGGTTTGATTCTGGTCAAGGGCACATACCTTGGTTGCGGCTCAACCCCGGCCCTGGTCGGGTCATGTGGGAGGCAACCAGTCAATGTTTCTCTCTCTCTTTCTCTTCCCCGGCCCTCCCACTCTACCTGAAGATAAATGGAGAAATATCCTCAGGTGAGGGTTTCAAAAAAAGAACAACCCACATGTGTTTAGAAAGAAATCAGGGGCCACAGGTGAGGGAAGCAAGCTCCAAGTGAAGTTCCAGAGGTCAAAGATAAGAAAGAGGTTTATAAAAGCAAAAAGAACTCTGGATTCATGTTACAGCTAGAGATGTCAGCAAGGAAGGGAAAAGAGGGCTTGGAATGGCCATACATTGGGTGTGGGTGGGTCTGGAGTGGGCTGCGACCAACATGCTTCAAGGCTGGTGGTCAAAGAACTCTTGACCCCTGAAGCAGGACTGTTGGTCTAAGAAAAGAGAAAGATCAGTGTCCCTCCTGGGAAGTCCCATGAGAATCAAGAAAGCTTGACCCTCTTGCTTCATCAAAGATTTATTGGACCTCTACTGTGTACTGAACACTGTGCTGGCACTGTGCATAACACCTAACACTCAGTCCCGATCCTCAAGAACTCACTGTCCAGGGAAGGGAGCATTTCATGAGTTAACAGGTATGTGACAATGTGGTAAGTACTTCTCTGGGTACTACCAGAGTACTTCGTTGCTTGAGAAGTCATTACCACAGACCTTAAAAATAAAATGAGCACATTCATCAAATTTCTCCAAACTTTGAGGCTTAACAATGTGCAGGATATGGAGAAATGTGAACTCTTAACACATTTAAGCCTAGAAGCTTAAAGTGATGTATCTCAAATTAAGACGAATCATATACTATGATACCATTTACATAAATATTTAACTTGTAAAATAATACTATGCATCATTGACAGATAATTTATGTATTTATTATATAGTCTTATAATATGTGTATATCTCAAAAAAAGAAAGCAAGAGAAACTATTAACACTAAATTTGGAATAATGATTCTCTCCGGTAGAGATTAATGTAATTGGAAAGAGATTTTATTTCTTAAAGTGGGTACCAGTTGTTCATTATATTATTCTTTATGCCTTTTTGCATGTCCAAAATAGTTCATACATTTTTAATAAAATGCTTTCTCCATAAACTTGACAAATCGTTGACATTTTTATATGACATAAGGGCCTTCACACATGATTTTTAGATGACTGGGATTAATCCATAAGTTATTTGTATCCCAGCCCCATTACTCCTCCACTTGTCTCAAGCAAGAGTCTTACCCTCTCTGTTGACATCCTCCCCAATGACATGAGGGCAATAATAAGAGCCCCCTCTTAGAATTCCTCTGAGGATTAACTGAAGGAATATATGCATGTCGCCTGGTTCATTTCATGACACATGCTAGGGTGCACCATATGATGGGTCCCCCTACCAACACCCCTCTCCCCCAGTTGCTAGTGTCATGGTGAGAGAAGTTAATGAATTAATCTGGGAGGGATTTAAGGACACAGTTCAGAAGTCCCCAGGTCCAGGAGAGAGCGCTAACTCAGCTTCTCAGCTTACCAACCACCTGGTGAGGCCAAGGCCAGCTGCTGCATCTCCGAGCCTGGCTGGGCTCTGTCTACAGAACCAAACACTGTCCTGGCCCCTACAACTGCTGGTGCATGCAAGGTGTCTCTGACCTCTTGGGTATGTCTGAGGTACTGGGATTGATGCCCCTTACGGTGAGGCAGCAGGTTTGGGCAAAGAAACCTTTCTATGACCTCAAATTATTTCACCTCAGTTGCCCTAGCTCCCTTTTTACTGTAAAAATAGCATACTCTTTTACCTGTACCCAGCAGACTTTGTCATTATGTTGATTAGTTCCCATACATTAAGCATTAATTAGGTTCCAGGCACTATGCTAAGTGCTTCACATACTTTTTAAAATTTAATTAATTATTTTTTTATCCTCACCTGAGGACATTTTTCCATTTTTTGTTCAGATAGAGTGGGAGGGAGAGAGAGGACGAGAGAGAGAGAGAAACACTGACGTAAAAGGGACAC